AAATCAATCGTCGAACAGGACGGAAACAATCCAAAATATGATGATACATGACGGAATGAAAAACGGCAAAGAAAGCCTTCTTAATTCGCAGCGATGGTCGCGAAGGACTGTCACAAAATTTCAACTGGTCAAAAAGTTTTAGAAAACGTGAGGAAACAGACGTCCTTTCCTCGCCACCATCAAAACTACTCCCCTGTCCCGTTGTAGTAATACAATAAAAACTTTCAATGAGGTACCGCGATAGAGTATCAGAATGCACCAAAGACGTAGGAATCGCTGGCAACAATAGATTAGCAACAACTCGCTCATCGAACAATTATAAACTGTGGCAAAAAGGAAAAAACAAAATTTGTAACCAATGATATGCCCGTCTTTTTCATACTTCCATGATGAGCACGATCTATGGCAGGAATCTTCTTTTTCATGAAGTTTACTGCGCGGTACTCATGTCCATTTCTACGCAATCAGTCTTATTTTAACAGCAATTCCTACAGCTGCGCAGTAGGTAAAGAACGTCGACTCCTGTTTCTCCTCATAACGTACCTTTCGTTTGTGCATGTAAACGGATGAGGAAGGAATGACTTGAATCGGGCTTTAACTCTCGATATTTCGACTTCCTACCGACTGAGCAAATGCGTCATCACTACGGAGAAAGACGAACGTGATAAACTCTTTCCCCGTGTGCCTGAGGTCACCGTCAACCATCGATGGTGAGGGCAGATGCCGTGGCCGTAAATTTCCAAAAACGAAATTTAGAAAGGTCAAGAACACTGAGCGTTAAGATGTACACGGAAGAAATAAACCGATGATTAATCCAAAGGACTTGAATCAACAACCGCGAAGGTATCATTTACGAAACTGAAAAGAAACCTGTGTTTCTGAGAGCGCATCAGTCATCCAGGAGACGGGCAGATGGTAAACAGACGGGCGGAAATGAGAATTATAGCGAAACCTGTGACTCAGTTTCTTTCGCTCTTGCATTTCGTCCCTACGTACTGCGTTCGATCGCTGAGTCGACATTGAAGCAGAACAATAACCGACATATAACGAAGGTGCGAATTACGTATGATGAGTACTCCTTCATCTCGTGCTGGTTGGTATGCGTTCCGCTGACCCGGCCGCGCCAAAAACAGTCCTGGCACAGTTGGTAGTTGTGGCACCGCTGGCACTTGTAGCGGAAGCCGGTGAACGAGTCGCGGCTGCAACCGTCGCACACCACCGGATGGAACACTGAAAGACGCGCACCGGTTAGCCATCAATGCATAAATGACCGACCGGCTGGCCAGTAGGCCTAGGGAAAACACGACGCAAGCCACCGGTCACCACCACAAACCGTGTTCGACGCTGGCCATCCGGTGCAGAAGCGGGATCCACATGAGACACGGCGGGCATGGGTCTGTCATCAGCGTGTCGAGAAATATGTTCAGCGTTACGCGGGTGTCCTGCAAAGTCATATACTTGAGAGAAGGAGAAGAAAGAAAAACGCAACGACGGATAAACAAAGCTGGTAAACAAGGCAAAATGTTCATACTTTACACAACACTGAAAATGCTGAATTAACTGTACAAGAAGCTTCAAGGTACCAGACACAATAGCTGGCCGACCAACGCACGAAACGGCAGACGACAAGTAGGTCAAACTGACCTTAAATGACGGGATACAGCTCCAGGCATGAACTATGGGATCTCCTGTACAAGAGAATGATCACAAGAGACAAGTATGATTGTATATCATATGAACTGCTACATTACGTATCACTGCTACATTAGTATTAAGAGATCAGAAAGATGTACAGAAACGGACTGCAAGTCTATGGTGTGAGCATAGCGGATGAAAATAGTTCAACTATGGCGCAAAGTAGCACGGTGCGACATGCTTGCCTAATGCATGACTTTGAAATCCTTAACGTTGCCTATGTCTCCCTGTTTCCATTTGACTGATTTAACCGTCGTGATGACGATGCTGTCATTCATTTGCCAAATATTTGAATTTCAAAGCTATTATTGTATTTTAGGATCAAACTGTATGCGACCGCTCGAGACCACTAAGTCCAGGTGATGCAGCCATTAATGTTTCCCCGTTGACTTAAACAGGATGCATGAAATACGAAGCCACGGACTACGTTATTCCAGCCCAGGCATTACACTTCTAACTGAAAGCTATTCGACTGACATGGTAAGTTACTGCTCGAATCAAAAACTGAACAGCGCTGAGGATGAGAAATATCGTTAAGAAATACTGCACGCCCATTAAATGACGGTTTCCTAGTTATATATCCGTATCCTGCTCCACTGTTTAAGAAAACAGTTTATTAAGAAAATGACTATGATATACTACACTGTCGCCTATTCACGAACACAATGATGACGCTGGGTATGCGATGACGAAACGCCACCGGTGAACGAATTTTACAGCGTTTTAGTAAAATGCTACTCGAACCATGGATCAGAAAACGGAGATATGAATGGTACTCAAACAGGCAACAGTTAGAATTTCCCATCTTCGTCCTTACTTTTCCGAACTGCCATTTTTAGAGCCTGTCTTGAAACAAGTCAACAAGATTTGCGTAGGTGCATATTTCAGCAAGGACAGAACTCTTCCGAAAAACGACTATTTAGTGGTCCTCGCGCAGTCTTCGAGATTAGAAAACTGCCAAATACCATGGTTACTTGTGATGAATACCTTACAGTTTTCTCTGTCTTCAGCAACCGTATTATATATTTTTCACCTGTTTCACTGCAACGCTGATTCTGCGATGATACTGTACTGCAACGTTGGCCGGCTGTAACGAAGTGGAGGCAATTCAACACGCCCCCTGGCACGCACGCCACTTTAGACATAAGACAAACAAAAGGACACGCTCTCAGCTCCTACAAACAACCGGAAACGTGGGTTCAACAAAAGACGGAATGCTCGTCCTCCACATGTCGCACTTCGCACCTTTTCCGAAAACACAGCGAACAGAAAGGTCAATGCGGAGTGGTCCTCGACAATAAGCAAAGAATCGGCAAGCGTATAAAAAGGCCGGAAAGCGTTGGAAAGGAGAGATTATTATGCAGATATGGAGAATATATCACGAGTAGGCAGTTGTTACCTTTAACAAGTAAAGACTTGTGACCAAATTCCGCATTCTGCTTGCTAGCAACTCCGCCATGGCCGGCCCCAAGCCCGGATGAGAAAGGAGGAGGGTTGGAGACCGTGGCAAGTCTCCGT